TCGGAGGTGCTTCATGTTTCTGTGATCAGGGCGATGTTTCCCAGGTGTAAAGAATAACTTGTTTTATTAATATCAAACTTCGTGAAGTTCAGGTAAACGGAAGCAATTTACGTAATGTTTATGAAGACGCAGGGCGTGCGATACGAGGCGAAAAGAACCGGTAAGATCAAAATTGTTGGTCACCTTGTTGAGAACAAGTTATAAGAGTAACGAAATCAATATAAGTAACATATTTAGTAATAAATAATGATAAAGTTTAAAATTATGAAACACGAATTAAGAAACCATGTCAGTCAAAATAATCTTTCGTAAATTTGAGGACCATCCTGTATGGCCCCAACGAAGTAAAAAAATAATATAAAAAAACTTTTTGTTCTGGAAAGGTTTCTATTTTGATATATGCCCCTCGGTGATACGTGTTGCAAATTTCTTGGATAGTATATCTGTCTTCCGTATACAGGCATTCAAGGGCAGATATTTCTTTTTCGTAACTATTGCTATGGGGTTACTCAACTACGTGAAGAAAGCGATTCCGACATAACCATCAGCGTTGTACTGTGCATTAATGTGTTTCCGGAAATTGAATTGATGTTAATAACGACAAGTACCAGTCGTAATTAAAATTCTATCGTAGCAACTTCGTTCTTGTAATGTGTCCTGGGAATTACACAACGCGAAATAATAAAACGTAATTTATTTATCTTTTTAATAATTAGATAAGTAAACAAATAAAGTGTACGGATTTATGGCTGTTGTTCAAATGGACGACTCGGTGTCCCCGGTTTGGGGTGCAACCCTCAGCTGAAATTTCGCGTTTCATGTTCAGGGACAAGATAACGTATCGATGCGTTTCTGCTGTGGCGTAGTTCATTTTTCGGGCTTGTTCAATGGTACATGAGCTACGGTCTTCAATTGTGAATGACGTACTTGAGTTGAGAGAATCTCAAGGTCATATAGCTCATGCCCCCCAACGAACTATGTGTACGTACACATCGGCTTGGATTCTTCCTTTCTCGTACGTGAGTAACATCTCGGTATCCGAAATTATAACAAACAACAGCTGAGTAGAACACTACATAGTTAAGTGCCGTACTGACCAAGAAATTTCCATCCGGAGATATTTCCGCACGTCCAACGTTTTTTGTTTGAAGTGACCGTATCTCAGAGTTTAAACATTTCCGGGCTGATGTGTAGTTGCATATTCCCTTGTTTTTTTTTGTCATGAAGCACATCTTTAAAATTATGAATTGCAATATTGAATTATTCTGTAGGAAATATTGAACTTTTTTTAAAAAAAATAAAACGTGTCTAAAATCATAAGAGATGGCGGTGCCCGAATTTATAACTTGTGTTGGGCAAGGCCGTGGTCTAGGCAACACGGAGTTTTCCTCCGTGGCATCCCAACAATTACTCCATTCACACACAGAAGAAGGCAATGGCAAACCACTTCTGGATCATCCGCCAAGAACGTATATGAACAGGTCCCAATCCGAGAAAAGGATGGAAGGATCCTGCTCATATGGACCTGTCCTCAGACAGAAAACTAAATAAATAAATAAATAATGTCTAGGTCTTCCATGTGCTTTCTTTCCTCCTGGTTCTTAAATTAAAATTTTGTATGCTTTCTCGTTGTCCCAATGCTTGCTACATATGTGTTCAGTAATTCGTAAATGTCATTGGTGTTGGTTCGATCTTGTTGAGCTTTATTTTTTGAACTAGTGTAAAATTACCCCCAGAAAAGCGGATTAGCAAAAGAATTTAACGAAATGTAGTCTTTTTGAACATTTTCGCTCTGAACTAACGCATTTTTGTTCCGTTCTGTGCTCCTTGGTGTTTGTCTGTGAAGGAACATTTCTGTCACAGACGGGAGACGTTTAAGACAGACCACCAACAAAATATGTGCGTCGTACTGTAGTGGACTGTGGGCCGGTCTGTCGGGGTTTGACTCCCGACAAGGGTGGAGATTTTCCTCATCGGCGCACATGACCAGAGGTCCACCCAGCCTCCCGCCCACGGGGGGGTCATTTCCGTGTTTTATTTCGCCCGAGTAATGCGGCAGGAGATATAAACTCACTCGCTGTTCTTTGGAGACTAACACCGTGGATAATATCTCTCTGCTTCTTGATGTCTGAGCACAGACTGAACATTAATTCCACCTTTGTCTTTATGACGTCACATTAATAGATGTTTGCATGACTGAGCGATAAAATAGCCAAGGCGAGAGTAAAGTTATTGAAAGCCGGGGCGGATTTCAGTTTTCTGCCCAGATGTTCAGAGGATGCAGGACAGGTTACGAGAAGATTTGTCTTGTGTTATCTGCTTGGTGTCAAAAGGGCGTCGATGTTAACCCTTTGAAGCCGAAGCTCGTCTGAATATTATTTATGAATTCAGTCCGTACCGCGAAGAAAACACTACACCTCACCATTACGAAAATCAGCTGGTTAACCCTTTGAAGCCGAAGCTCGTCTGAATATTATTTATGAATTCAGTCCGTACCGCGAAGAAAACACTACACCTCACCATTACGAAAATCAGCTGGTTAACCCTTTGAAGCCGAATCTCGTCTTCATAATATTTACGAATCCAGACCGTACCGCGAAGAAAACACTTCACTTAACCATTAGAAGTCGAATCAGGCGGTACCACATAAGATTTAACAAAAGAACGTCCCGGTCAAAGCCTTAATAGTGTCTGACCATTTGCAGCTCCAGAATTTCAAGACATTTTTTTCTCATCTTGATGTATTAACCACCGCGAGAATAATTCTTGGATAGTGAAATGTATAAATTCTCATCATTGTGTCATTTCGTACAGTCTTCTTCGTTCTTATGACACATACGAATCAACTCGTGAAGTTATGGTTCTGCAGTTTTAGTCCTTGGGTTATATACGCTGCATTCTTTTGATATAAATCAAACTTTTACTCACATCGATTGTAAAATTGCGTCATGGTTAAATATGCGTTACAAAATTACAAACATTTGATACTTTTAAACTTTAAAAATCTTTAAGAATTTTCTTAAAATGAACTATTTTTGTGCGAAGTTATGAAGTTAACAATTATTTATTTTAATCCGTCTGATCACAATATTTAAAATTTCTTATAATTAAG